CGCCGCCGCCAGGCAGCGCTCCCGCTGCCGCAGCAGCAGCAGCAGCAGCAGCAGCAGCGCGGCCGAGCTTGCTGCTGCCGCTGCGGCGCAGCAGCGGGCGCTTCGCAGTGCGGCGAGCAGCAGCAGATGGGCTCGAAGTCTCGGCTGTACACCCGGAAGCTGTGGGGCCGGAGCCGCTGTTTTCAGGTGTATGTACAGCTAATATTCTTGCTGCCAGCAGACTTTTTTCTCCCCATTTGCCCCCCCGGCTGCCTCCCCTCGACTTCGATTTGCTGCTCGCGCTGCTGCTGCTCGCGCTGCGCCGCTGCCGCGTCCCTCTTGCTGCTCCCGACGTCCTGCGCCTCCTGCTGCAGGTGTGTGCTGCTGCGGCTCCTGCTGCTGCTGCTGCTTTTGCTCCTCCCTCCTTTTGCTGCTGTTGCTGCCCCTTTTCTTGTCTCCGTGTCTGTTTCTTGCTTTATATCTGTGGATATAGATTTCAAGGTGTGCAGCGAGTTGCTGCTGTTGCTGTTGTTGCTGCTGCTGCTGCCCTGGCTGCTGCTTCTATAGTGCTGCCCCCACGTTGCGCCAGATGCTGCTAAGGCGTCGCTGCGCTAGTTGCTGCAGCTGCTGCTGCAGCTTGCTGCTGCAGCTTGCTGCTCCAGCTTGCTGCTGCAGCCGCTGCTGCGTCTCCTGCTGTAGCTGCTGCTGCAGCAGCTGCTGCTGCTGCAGCTTTTGTGTGCGCAGAACCGAATCGGGACTTTGTCGCTGCTGCGGCTGTTACCCCCCGCGCTGTGGCACCAGTGCCGCGTGGCTACGGGGGCGCTGCTGCAGCTGGCGCCCCACAATGACGCAGCAGCAGCAGCAGCAGCACTGCAGCCGCAGACGCTGCCGCAGGCCTTTCGGTTGCACACAGTGCTGCAGGACTTGGAGGCCCTGGGGGTGGGAGGGGCCCCCGGGGGGGCCCCCCCCGTTAATGCAGCAGCACTGATTGCCCGGGTTGGGGCTGCGCTGAGGCTGCCCCCCCTGGTGCTGCTGCTGGCAAACGCGTTGCTGCAGCAGCTGCTGCCGGCGCAGCTGCTGCTGCTGCAGCAGAAGCTGCACACAGCCCCGGAGTACAGACACCTCAAACTCCCCCGCAAACCCCCTTTTGTGTCTTCCAAAGTCCAGTGTATTCAGAGACCTTTGCCCCCCCTTCGCATTCGCAAAGGGCTGGGGGGGCCTCGCCTTCGCCGTGCTGCTGCTGCTGCTGCTGCTGCTGCTACTGGTGACGCAGCTTCCACAGAAGCCGCAAGAGCAGCAGAAGCCCACAGAACGGAAGAGAGCACAGCAGGAGCGGCCTCCAAGCGCAGGCGCGCAGCAGCGGAGGGCCCCGTCCCTGCAGCAGATGAAGCAGCAGCAGCAGCT